AGGTGAGGTCGTTTCTTATCTCCATTCCAGGGAGTAAAGATTATGTACTTAAGCATGATTGTTCGTAGTTAGTGATTAATTACCCACCAGGCAGTTAAGAGGTTTCATTCCCTCCCTAACTTCAGGGGAAAATCCCTACCTGGGGAAACAACCTTTCTCAGAAGCAGAGGTGACCTTGGTTAAAACACAGCGCCAAGAAGGTGAGCAAACATATTAAGAACAGTATGCCATATATGCCAGGTCCCTTGAAACAGCAAGGATGGACCGGCTCCCGGCACATGTTCTTGTTTGAACTAAAGAAACACACAAATAAACAACCTCACTCTGGCTGCTGTGGTTTCCTGGCTTCTTCCTGCTTCTGTCTGTCTCTGCCTCCAACCTCACCCCACTTCTGGCCTATGTTTCTGGCCCAGCCTCTAGAAGCTGCCTCCAACCTCACCCCACCCCACTTCTGGCCTACGTTTCTGGCCCAGCCTCTAGAAGTCAGCCCTGGGCCTGGGTCAGTTCGAGGGAGTTCTGTGTCTCCCCTCTTACCCATAATTGATTAGGAACAGTTGAGGCTTCTCCTGCTGCAGGAGCGAGGGTCCTTATACCACTACCCCAGTCACTGGAGGGCAGTGACCTTGTGTGAGATGGCCATAGTTGGCAGAGCCATCCTTCTTGCTGGCACCACTCCCAGGGTGGGGGTTGGGTCTTCATTCCTTAAAGGGGACTGGGCAGCACTTCATAGCACCCACGGGAGGACACCCAGTGTCCATGGCCTCCAGTGACCACACAGGAATAGGAGGTATTTCTTTCTCAGAGGCTACAAGGCTTCCTGGAGAGAGTGCCCTGTTTCCATTCTCTCATTCCATGTGCTCTGGGGTTTCTGTTGGATTTGGGATGGCTGCTGCCCTCTCTGGGCCTCCATGTCCTCACCTCCAACATGGAGGGACCTGTTCCGCCTATTATGAGCCTATGCCCTCCTGTAGCTCCCCTCTCCCCCCTAACCCCCTATCCCCATCCCTCCTCTCATAGCTTGCTGCCCTACCTCCTCCTGTAGCTTTCCTTCAGCTGCGTGTAGCTTGCTACTCCACCCTCCTGCTGACCCCTGATCTGGTTGTTACACATCACAGCCTAATAACTATTGGCATATTACATCTTTATTATATAGGATTAGGAGTAACGGGTGAGCGGGGCATGGGTGCAGACTTACTGCAAAGGCCCAGCTCTGGAGAGGCCCTTCAGGATATAGGAGACGGTATAGCCACACATGCTCAGAGGGAAGGGGGCTGGGTGGTGGTAGCCCCATGGATGGGGTGCCCTTGCTTGTGAAGGGACAGAGTGGGCTCTGGGAGGACCCACATGTAGAGTGTTCACCTCCTGCTCCTTTAGGCTTGAGAAAGGAGGACTGGCGGAGGAAAAGCTGAGAGCCGGCTGGAGCCTTGGCCAAGACTGAGGGGTCAGGACACAGAGGTTTGGAGCCCTGTCAGCTCTGAGTGTGAGACAGGCCCCAGCCAGGAGCTGCAGGGAAATGTTCAGTCAGAAACTGGCTGTGGACTTGTTTTCAGGCTGGAGGGCTACAGGAAGTGGCTTGGAGACAGGGTGGGAAATGCGGGCTGGGGGTCACTGCACCCCAGCCACACCGCTCTCCAGTGCTCTGAGCCTGTTTCTGTCCTGGGGTCTCCCCCATGCTATTCTCAGCCTGGACTGCTTCTCCTGACTGGGCCTGGTCAACCCTCTTTCTGCTTCAGGTCTCAACCTGATGTCACTTCCCAAGAGAGGCCCTCCCTGCCCGAGTCTAATTGCATCCTCCTTCCTCCTCGCTCCCTACCCACCCCCCGCCCCCCTTACACGCTCATAACACAGTGCACTTTCCATTCACAAACTCCACGGAGCTCAGAGATACACAGTGTGTGTTAACATGTCATCAACATCTGTCTCCTTGTCGCTGGAGTGGAAGCTTAAGGGGACAGGACCCGTGTCTGTGGCTTACTATTGTCCCTTCAGTGCCTGGCCCAGTGCTTGGCACATGGGAGCCATGAAATGAATGAATGGATGAATAAGTGAATGAAAGAGACCATGAAGAAAGGAAGGACGGAAGGAAGGAAGCAAGGAAGGGAAGGAAAGATTGTTCTGGATGGAGAAATGAACCTAGGATTCTCTAAGAACATGTGGTCTCACTGGTAATTATCATTTCAGCCTCTCAAATCTGTTTCCAGCGCTGTGATGCATTTTATTTCATCACATCTATGAGTGGACATGGTAGTCCTGTTACAAAGATAAAGAAACCAAGTCTCATGGCCTAAGTCAGTGGCGGATCCGGTAGGGAACCCAGGCTGCCCAGGCACTTTGCTGCCCCTTTACTTCCTCTGTCCAGTTCATGTCCCCACACCCCTTTCCATCGCTCTCCCTCCCCTTCCCTGTCCTCTGCCCAGAAATGACCCCAGGGCCTTACCTCAGGTGCCCCAGGCACCAGTTAGACTTCCTGAGCCCTTCACAGAGCAGCCTCAAACCGAGGTCGCCCAGGTGGTTCTGCCGCAGGTCCAGCTCTAACCGGATATAGTTCTTACTGAGCATGGAGGCCAGGTCCTGGCAGCAGGCAGATGTGAGGCCACAGCTGACGAGCCTGTGGGAGAAAAGTACATGGGCTGGAAGTCATTGTTCACAAGGCCCTCTACTCAGGGTAAAGGGGAATCTGATTTCCCTCTCTAGCACCCGTGTCCCTTTGGGGGTCCCTGGTGACATAAAGGAAGATAAACACGTGTCTGGTTAATAGAAATCCAGGAGATTTTAATTTTCTTCTGCAGCTAAGGAGCCCCTGAGGATTAGAGAACCTCCCTTTCTCACTCCTGTGAGATTCCCAACAATCTTGCAACTCCCCTCATCAACATTATATGATTTATTTACCCAATGTTCCACTTGTGCACCAGGTCTGATTGTTAACTTCATCGGCCCTACCAAATGCCCAGGTAGCTGACACAGGATTCTTTGGTGGGTTTCAACACTGGGGTGTCTACTTGCTTCAAACCCAAATCACCCCATCCTACCTAGGTCTCAGCTTGTCCCTGACCCAGGGTCTTAGGCAGCTCCCTCTCCTTTGCCCACCCCTCAAAGTAGTGTCAAAGGGGAGCAATTACAGCAGCCGCTCCAGCTTGCAGGAGGAATGTCTCAGCTCCCGGAATAGGTGCCGGGCTCCGGTGTCCCGGAGCTTGTTGCAGCTCAGGTCCAGCTCTAGCAGGCTCCATTTGGTCCTCAGCGCACGGGCAAGGGCCCTGCAGCCTTCTGCTGTGAGGCCGCAGTTGGCCAGCCTGTGGGAGACAAACACTGATAGTCATGAGTTTCCTCACCTGTTGATTCCACAGACACCATGAGCACCCATGGGCACCTCTTCTGGGTCAGGCAGTAAGTAAGACCCCCCAGATCCCCAGAAATGTACAGGTACTGGGGGATTGACATGGAAGCAAAGACAAAAAATCTGAAAGGAAGCAAGAGAAAAGCAGTTACTTACCTACAAAGGGGTTTCCTTTGACTGGAATCAAACCCAGGACCCTTCAGGCTACAGGCTGACGCTCTATCCACTGAGCCAAACCAGTTTTCATGCAGCCCTTCTCTTGTCCTTCTGTCCCAGAAGGGCCAAGGCTCTTTTCTTTTGTGCCTTTGATTACACACCCTCCTGCTTCCCCTCTGACCTGTTCTTTCTGGAATCCCCTCTTCAGACCTCCAACCTCTCCTTTACCAATTCCTTCTCCTTTGTCCGTGTACTATGATCAGTTTTACATGTCCATAAAAAGCAAAGCACCCAGAATCCTTGAGTCTAGCATATTCAACTGATTTCCAGAGAAATCTAGTTATTAGTTAGGATTTTGTTCGGAGGTCTTAGATATTCCTACATCCAAAGGCAGTAAATCTTCCAGTTCTTTCATATAGAATTAGCTTTTGTAGTGAGGAAATGGTCACATCTGCCTGATCCATCATTAGTTCTCGTGAAAAATCTCTTTTATTGCACTGCCCCACTGAGTCAGCATGAATTAGATCCTGACTTTCATGATGAAGTGCTGAAGGTGGTGCTGGGCCGTGTGCTCACTGAGTTCCAGTCCCAGTTCTCCCATTTCTAGCTGTTTAAATTTGAGCAAGTTGGTTCACTCCACTGAGCTTCAGTTCTTATTAACTGGAAAATGGAAATCATTGTCCCTGCTCTGCCATTTTCACAAGTTTTTTTGAAGGCTGAAAGAAATATTTCTTGGAGTAGATACAGAATTGATATTTAGATTGTAAAGATCACAACATAAGCAGTACATTGTAGCTTGGTGTCTGCCCACTTGTTGTGAAGTTTAAGGTAGAATAAAGTTTTCTGATACCTTTTCAAATGCTTTTCCTCCTGGCCTCAGGTGGTCCTCATTAGAAGGGTTTTAGGAAAGGTGAAGAAGCCTCATGTGGATACAGGAGGCCCCAAGGACTGGGTTTGTTACCATCCTCTCGTGCTCAACTTATCCTACCAGGACTCTTCTTCAATGAGCAATTCCTTAACCCTCCTCTTTCTCCCAATCATTCAACACTTTCTTTTTTTTTTCACTTTGCTTGGAATCTAGCTTAAATTCTATATGTCATCAGTAATATGACTGAATGACTTACTCTCTTACCTCTCACCATATCCCTCTAGCTAACCCAAACTCTGCCTTTGTCCCACTATCCTACACCCACTCCCACCAGAGTAACAAGCGTGGTAGCTACAATTATGAATCACATGGGCTCCAACCATTACTGGAAGGCAGAAATCTCCCACTCTATAAATCTCCCACTTCAGTATTTTACTTCCCCAAGTCTCCTACACTCCAACCTCACACTCATTGTTAGTAAATAACTGAATTCCTACTTCAGTTATTTACTATTCAGTAAAGTGGAGCCATTAGGTTGAGAAAGTTTCCTCTTTTCTAGTTAATTGAAATGGTGTTATTAAGTGAAAGGTATTGGATTTTGTCAAGTACTATGTCTATATCTATTGAGATGATCATGTACTTTTTGTCCTTTATTCTATTAGCATTATGTATTGTATTGGTCAATTTTCCTGAGTTAAACCAGCTTTGCATTCCTGGGATATGTCCCTGTTTGTCATGCTTTACTATCCTTTTTATTTGTTTTTAGTATTTTGTTGAGAATTTTCATATCTATATTCATAAGAGATATTGGTTTGTAGTATTTTTAAGGCCTTGTGATGACTTTGCTTGTCTTTGTGTGATTTTGATATCAGGGTAATGCTGCTGTGATAGAATGAGTTGGCAATTATCCCCTCTTCTATTTTTCTTTTTCAGAGTTTGAGAATATTGGTGTTAATTCTTCTTTAAAGGTTTGGTGGACTTAATCAATGAAGCCATCTTGGCCTGGGCTCATCTATGTAGAAATTTTTTTTTTTTATAATTTAATCTCTTTATTTGTTATAGGTTTATTTAGACTTCCTACATCTCCTTGAGTCAGTTTCAGTAGTTGTGTTTTTTAGGAAATGGTCCATTTCATTTAGGTCATCTAATTTGTTGGCTTACAGTATTTAATATTTCTTTAAAGTTCTTTAAAAGTTTTTTTCTGTTAGGTCAATAGTGATTACCTCTCTTCCATTCCTGATATTAGTAATTTGAATTGTATCTCTTTTTATCCTAGTGAGTCTAGCTAAAAGTCTGTCAATTTTGCTGAGTTTTGCAAAGAACTATCTTTTGGTGTCATTATTTTCAGTATTGTTTTTGTATTCTCAGTTTTATTTATTCTCAGTCAAGTTCATATTATTTTCTTTCTTTGGCTTGCTTTTTTAAAAAAACACTTCTTATTTATTTCAGAGAGTAAGGGAGAGGGAGAGAGAGATAGAAACATCAATTATGAGAGAGAATCATTGATTGGCTGCCTCCTGCATGCCCCCTACTGGGGATTGAGCCCACAACCCTTGACCAGAATCAAACCCGGGACCCTTCAGTCCACAGGTCGGTGCTCTATCCACTTTGCCAAACCAGCTAGGACCAGCTTGCTTTTTGTTATATTTTCTCCTGTTTTTATTTCTTTTTGATTCTTAAAGTAGAGCATTATTGATCTGAGTTCCTTCTTTTTCTCCCCCTTCTTTCCCTCTGACCATTTCCTCTTTCTTTCTTAAATATACTTTTGTTTTGTTTGAATAGTTTTAGGTGTCAGAAACATTTGGGCATAAATACAGAGATTTCCTTCATAGCCTTGTCCCCACATACACACCTCCCCCATTATCAACACCTGGCAGCACAGCAGTGAATTTGTTGCAATCAGTGAACCTACATTGATACATCATGATCACCCAAAGTCCATAGTTTACATTATGCTTCACTTTTGATGCTTTATAGTCTATGTTTTTTGACAAATATAAAATGACATATATCCACCATTGTAGTGTCATACAGAATAGTCACTACGCTCTATCATTTTTCTCCCCCCGCCCCCAGCCGCTGGCAATTACTGATTTTTTTTTGCTGCCTTCATATTTTTGTCTTTTAAAGACTTTTACATTGTTGGGATTATACAGCATGTAGCTTTTCAGATTGTGTTTTTTATAACCAGTCATATGGATTGATAGTCCCCCCATGTATTTTCATAGCTTTCTGGCTCATTTTTGCACACTGAGGAATATTCCATTGCATGGATGTACCACAATTTTTTTTATCTGTTCACCTACTGAAGGCCATCTTGATTGTTTTTTTGTTTGAGCAATTATAAATAAAGCTTCTTTAAACATTGGTGTGCAGGTTTTTGTATGGGTATGGGTTTTCGACTCATTTGGGTAAACACCAAGGAGCATGATTGCTGGATCATATGGTAAGGGTGTGTTTAATTTTGTAGGAATCCGCAATTTGGCTGTATTATTTTGCATTCCTACCAGCAATGTATGAGGGTTCCTTTTGCTCCACAACGTTGTCAGCATTGGGTGTTGTCAGTGTTCTCAATTTTGGTGATTCTAATGAGTGTGCAGTTGTATCCCTTTTTCTTTTTTTTAAATCTAGGCATTACTATCTATACATTTCTCTGTCAGCACTGATTTAGCTGCATCAAATAAGATTGGTATGCTGTATTTTTGTTTTCATTCATCTCAAAATATATTTTTTAAAAATATTTTTTTATTAATTTCAGAGAGGAAGGGAGAAGGAGAGATAGAAACATCAATGATGAGAGCAAATCATTGATTGGCTGCTTCCTGCACGCCCCCTACTGGGGATTGAGCCCTGCAACCTAGGCAAGTGTGCTTGACCGGGATCAAACCTGGGACGATTTAGTCCACAGGCCAATGCTCTATCAACTGAGCCAAACCAGTTAGGGCTCAAAATACTTTGTTTGTTTGTTTTTCATAATTTTTAAAAAATATATTACTCATTTATTTCAGAGAGGAAGGGAGAGGGAGAGAGAGCATCAGTGATGAGAGAGAATCATTGATTGATTGGCTTCTTCCTCCACACCCACCACACTGGGGATTGAACCCACCACCTGGGCATGTGCCTGACCAGGAATCATAACCTCCAGATTTATGGGTCAACGCTCAAACTCTGAGACACATTGGCCGGGCTCAAAATACTTTTAAATTTGCCTTATGATTTCTCCTTCCACCCATTATTTATTTAGGAGTATGTTGTTTCATTTCAGTGTATTTGTGAATTTCCTAAATTTCCTTCTGTTATGATTTTTCAATTTCATTTTATTATGTTCAGATAATATAATTTGTATGATTGTAATTCTTTTAAATTTCTTGAGTTTTGTTCTATGGGGCATCTTATTTGTTTACAGCTTTATTTGATACTTATTGGACATCTACCCTTGGTACCTCAAAGGCACTTGAAACATGCACAAAATCATACCCATGACATCTCCTCCCACCCCCACCCAGTATTTCCATCTCAGTGAGATGCCATTATCCTATGCATATCTCTGTCCTGAATCTAAGATCATCTTGCATAGCTCCATCTCCCTTTCCCCATTAATCCAGTCCATTACTCAGTCTGGTTGATTTTACTTTTCTTGAGATCTCTTAAATCCATTCACTTCTTTCCATTTTCATGGCCAACACTGTAGTCCAAGACACCACCATTTCTTGCAGGAACTTTGTTAATTTCCCTTGGCCCAAGCTCTCCCCATCTTTACAGGAACAACTGAAACTTTCCTTTGAATTGGTTTTCCAATCTCTCCTATTGCTCTCCTCCATTCTGGATTTTATATGGTAGTCTGTTTCTACTTTGAAAATGTACTGATGATATCAATCTTTTGATTATAATTACATTGCATTAGAAAAAACAACCACCTAGATTCCATCTGGGCCTTGCATAGGTAGCCTGGCTTCCTGATCTCTGTAGCCTCCTCCTGTGGCTCCTTTGCTCTCCATCCTCCAGCCTCACTTCTCAGCTTTCAATCCCATGACAGCCCATCCTCCCTCCTGCCACAGGGCCTTTGACCTTTCTGCCCTCCTGCTTCACTTAGGTAAACCCTCTGTAGTCTTCACATGTCCTTCAATATTCACTTTATTCAGGTCGTTTTCCACTGCAGGCCCTTATCCGGGCCTGTAATGGCACATTTGTTTGTGTGGTTAATGTCAGTCACTTGCAAACTCTGTGAAAACAGGATCCTGTCTGTGTTTGTTTACTGCAGTAGCCATGGTCAGAGAGGGGCTCAATGAATATTTTTTGACTACAAAGACCACACACCCATCCTAGACATAACTTCTACCTCCGGTCTCCTGTCCATCCCTGTTTCAGATCAGAACCCAGGCCAGACTCACCTCAAAGACGCCAGGTGGCAGCGAGGGCTTTCCAGGGCGTCACAAAGGCTCTGTACTGCAGAGCAGCTCAGAGAGTTCCCACTCAGGTCCAGCTCCTGCAGGCTTCCAGGGACTTTGAGAACAATTAGCCCAGGGTGGTGGGAACAAAGGGGCAGTTCCAGAGACTGATCACCCCTGGCAATAGGCCTGCCCATGGCAGCCTGGCACTCAGAGGGGTCAAACCCCATGGTGTTGGGCACAGTGTGCACATAAGACCCATACACACCGGTCACATCTCCCCTGTCCCTCTCTCTCCCTCAGGTGCAGCTGGGGCCAGTTTAAAGATTCCTGGTGGCAGATGTTCTTCTCTATTCTCGAAATCCCTGGAAGCCTGCGGGAGCTGGACCTGAGTGGGAACTCTCTGAGCTGCTCTGCAGGGACAGAGCTAATTGCCCCTCCTCTGTGTGGTTTCTCACAGTGCAGCCCTTGCCGTTCTACATTGCAGTGCTCATTTAGTGTGACTTTCCCATGGGAGTCTCTCCAGACTCTCTGTGTCACCATCTATTGCAAACTCTCTTCCTTTGTCTTCGTGCCTCTGATTCCTCTTGCTCTCCTCTGGCCTCCGCCTTTCTGCCTGCTCAGGACACTTCTGAAGGGCACCACCACTTGCAACACCTGCACCCTGGTCCATTAAGGATCAGCTTACCTTTATAACCACAACAACTAGAAATAAATTAAGTATCTGAAAATAGAGGACTGGTCGGATATTTGTGGCACCTTCCCTTTGGGAAACGGTATGGTCGTTCAAAATGGTGTTGTATCAGGCTACTTCATAACACAGAAGAAAGTCTTGATATAAAAGTAAAGAAAGAAATCTGACTGTAAACTAAAAGGTACAGTATAGCTCAGTTTTGCTCTAGAAATGTGCATAAAAATAAGACTAGAGGATATATACCTCACTTTATAATGAAGGTCCCTTCTGCTCTGAAATCAATCAAAACATATTTTAAAAAATTATTGAGAAAAAAAGTTACTGGTGATCTCAGTCCTAAAGCTGCCGGGGCCAGGCTTAGTGGGAGTGCCCCAGTGCCCAGGGCGGTGGTACCAACAGAGGAGCTGGAGAGAGGGGAGGGGGAACACTCACAGAACTACACCAGGAGACCTTTGAGCTAGTTTTTCCTCTCCGCCGTCATTCAGTTGAAGCATCTTCATGTGATGGCAGAATTTAAAGCAGAAGGTGAACACCAGGAGCTCCATGTGAGTGTGGACACATATCCTCATCCCATAGAAATTGGACATCATTTCTGTCAGAAACCTTTTGTCCTGATTCTCATAAAAACAGTGGAGCATGTGCCAACAACATGGCCCAAGGTTACGATGCTTGTAGTCAATTTCCCTCTGCCTCAACTGCAGCAGATAGAAATGCCTCACCCGTGACAGGCTGCATTTGAAGATGCTCTCTAACTCTCTCATCCCCTGATCACTCAAAAGACCAAACAGGAAACATGTGGTTGGTTCCCCAAACAGGTCATGCCTGTCATATACATCTGTCAAGTCTGTTATAGTTTTGATGTTATTAAAGCGACCACTTTCCAACACTCTATCGCCTAAAACATAGGACATTGCTGCAAAGAACTCCTGGAAGCACCGGTGAATGAAGCTGTAGCTCCGAGGGGTGGGGTGCTCTTGAAGAACACCCATGTTTAAGAGAGTGGCGATGTTGGCCCCGTCTAACCCGTGTTTCCTGAAGTCCTCAGGGCTGAACAGAGTCTTTCCTTGACAGGTGCCTTCAGCAGCCAGAGAGCAGAAGCCCCTCAGCTTAGTCCCAAGGGACTGAGCCTGGAGAACATGAAAAAAGTAGTGCAGACAGAGGGCTGTGGTCGTCTGGGAGGTCAGTGAGAGTGGTTGCTCCTGCTCCATCTGCTGCTTCAGGCAAGTGCAGACCAGCCAGGACACCAAGGGCATTAGACACATGGTGAAGAGAGCCGGGTTGGATTCAACTGAGGTAAAAGCTCTAATCGCTTGGCCCTCATCTGTGAAATATTTGTAGAAATACTCCTTCCTGGCCGATTCGGAGAATCCCAGGACCTCCACCCAGTGAGGATGCTTTAAAGAAGGAATGAGTTGTCCCAGAGCTGTGATCCGAGCTGTGATCAGCAGGGAATGAGCTCAGCGAGACTCATGGTCTCTGATTGGGCCAGCTCTCTGCAGTTGAAGTAGAAGACATGCTTGAAGCGGTCCCTGAAGAGCCAGCCTTCCTCCCAGGCTCTCCTCACCTGCCTGGCCAGGGTTGACTTCCCGATTCCAGCAAGTCCATGCACCACGATAGTGGGAGGCTCCCCCTGGTTACTCAGGCCTGGGCCAAATAAGTCTCCAATCTCCATCAAATGTCTTTGTTCATCTACCACCTCATGATTCCTTCTTCTCCAGAGGAGGAAGCAATAGCCTCTGGGTTGAGATCTGTGTAGAAGTAGCAGTTGTGTGAATTTCTGGTGCAAATACTCATTTCTCCATGACTCTGTGGGGTAGGAACTCTCTCTTTTTTTGTTATGGAATTTTTCTTTGATTCCTAGAGAAAGGAGAGAAAGATGGAACATTTGTTCAATTGTTTCTCCACTTATTCCACAATTGTTTTCTGAACCCACTTGAAGCTCCACCCTGTGCTGGCTGCTGATATTGTACATTCTTGCCAGGCCAGTGGAGAAAACAGGGTCCTGAGGAGAAGATCCCGCTTAAATTTTTTTTGAATTACTGATTTGCTTTATAAAAATAGGATCGTATATGTATACAGAATTTTATTTTTTTATTTTGTTTTATTGCTTAAAGTATTACAAATAGTATTACATATGTCTCCTTCTTTCCCCTCCACTCCTTGACATTCCTCCGGCCTCCCCTACCCACCAGTGTCTTATGTCCATTGGTTATGCTTATATGCATGCATACAAGTCCTTCGGTTGACCTCCACATTAAGTTTTGACTTGACCAAATCATTCTCATAGGGTGATGTTTCTTCCTTCTGCAAATATCTAATCTAGGGCTTACACTGCGAGGCACTTATCTAGAGTCTGGGAATAAAGAGTGAACAAACAGACACAACTGTCTGCTCTCATTAATTCCATGACCTGAGCTATTAGCCCCACTGAGAATCAGTTTTTTCATTCATAAATTGTAAGTAGTTATGGTCAAGTGGAGGATATAATGGATGGTGAAGCAGATATGATTGGTTCCTGAGAGTACCTCCTCCGCATCCACCCATTTAACCACATGGCAAGGATATTCTTCTACTCGCACCTGTGGTTTTCTGTCTGAGGACTCTCTCTCAGGCATTGGGTGTGACAGGCCAGAAGCCCTGGGGAACTAAAGCTCCAGAGGGAGCTCTCAACCAGTGATAGATGGCAGTAACCTGACCCCCAGGAAAGACAGTACTGTCTCTTGAAGATCCCTAGTTCATTGAACCTCAGTTGCCCCAGAATGCAGGTTTCATTGGTTTCCCCCCTTCCCTTCCCACTTCTCTCTCCTAATGGTGCTTCCAGGGAACCAGTTCTTGAATAAGCCACCTGCTCTCCAGTGTCAGCTTCTGGGGGAAACCACCTGGACAGAGGAAAAAGTGGTTTATGAACTGTGAGGAGCTGAGCATATGTCAGGGACTGTGCCCCTGGGAGGAATCTCAAGGTCATATCTCTGTCAGATTCCAAGTGGAATTACTGTTACATCCTTTTCCCTTCTTCCCTTCAGAATATTTTGAGTGACTTTCATCTCTCTTCATAGATGAATGTTTGAGATGATGCAAGTGACCCATCTGGGGTCCTGAAGCCCAGTTCATCTTGGGAAACCTGCTGGACCTCCAGAGCATGTGGGCCAATTTTCACCTGTAGCTTGGTGAGAATAGGGTATTAGGGGCCCACTCCCTCCTCTGGTATCTTCATCTGAGGATCCACTTTTATTGTCTCCCGTGAGAACATTTCTTTCAAAGTGCAGATCTTCTAATGCATCAGTATGGCCACTCTGAGTCATGGTTATGGCCCACCCCACTCTGAATCCTATGTCTGCCTGAGGTGCCAAGAGAGGACTTAGGTCTTTTGGTGCCATGTTCTCCAAAATATCCTGGTTTTAATGGATCTGCTGGCATTCCACATATCTAAATTCTCTTAATTTACTAAAACTTTCAAAATTCTACCTTTACCACCAATACTTCTATCAAGATACATTTTAGCATTATGCTTTTGACCAGGGGTTGGCAAATTCTGGCCAAATCTAAGTGTCTACCTGTTGTACAACCTGTGACCTAAGAATGGTTGTTACATTTTTAAATGGTTGAAAAAGTCAAAGAAGAATTATATTTAATGACATGAAAATTATATAAAATTCAAGACATGTGAAGAGATGTACATCGAGGTACATGAAACTCATAGGTCCTGGTACAGACTCAACTTTAAAAGGACTTCATTTATCACATTATAATGAAACTAGAGGCCCAGTGCACAAAAATTTGTGCACTCAGCGGGGTGGAGGGAGGGTCACTCAGCCCGGCCTGTGCCCTCTTGCAGTCTGGGACCCCTCGGGAGATAATGACATGCTGGCTTAGGCCTGCTCCCAGGTGGCAGAGGGCAGGCCCAATACCTAGGTGCAGCCCCTGGCCGGGCTCAGAGCACGGTTGATTTGGGAGTTGGGGCGCTGCCCCCTGTCATGCACAGAGGAGGGCAGATTGGGAGGTTGTGATGCCACCCTCAGTCACGCTTAGGGTAGGGCCGATTGGGGGGTTGGGGCACCGCCCCTTGTCACCCTCAAGGCAGGGTCGATGGGGAGGTTGCGGCGCCACCCCCTGTCACGCACAGAGCAGGGCCAATCAGGGGGTTGGGGCGCTGCCCCCTGTCACGAACAGAGCAGGGCCCATCAGGGGGATTGGGGCTCCGTACACTGTCACACACAGAGCAGGGTCGATCAAGGGGTTGGGGAGCTCCCCCCTATCACCCACAGAGCAGGGCTGATCAGGGGGTTGGGGAGATCCCCCTGCCATGCACAGAGCAGGGCAGATCAGGAAGTTGTGATGCCACCCTCAGTCACGCTCAGGGTAGGGCCGATTGGGAGTTTGGGGCACCACCCCGTCACACTCAAGGGAGGGCTGATGGGGAGGT